TAATCCCTCCAAAACGAAACACAATAATAAATTGATCATTTTCAATCCACGACTGTTTGTGGGACATTGCTGTGCACAATTGGCTGCCGCGTTCGCCCACAAATATACAGTCAATTCACTTTACAGTGTTTTCTGTGAAGCGCTTTGGGACGTCCTCCCGACGTGAAAAGCGCTATATCAAATGCAAGGATTATTATTATTACAATAGTCACTGCACATGACAATAATTACTTATGAAGAGCTTGCAACATTTTGACACAATAAAGTACTATACAACTTCTTTCTTTCTATTTTACTTGCATTGAAGGTTGTTGCACAGTCTGTCACAGACTGGAATGACTGGACACTACAGCCAAAGCAAAGTGAAAAAGGTGTAAATTTGCTAATCCTGATACCTGCAATGATGAAAGTCATTAATCTGTTAGTCTCTTCAGTCCAGTCTACTGACTTGCATGTTACATTGCAGGTATCAAAGTGTATGAGTGCCTGTAGTATAATTGTCTTGCTCTAATCAGGTCATTACATAATTATAACAGCAGCGTGTTCCAGTTGGTAGCACTCTTCTCTGGTTCAGGAGGATTATGGAAAGGAATTCATAGCCTTAGCCAAAACCCACTTCACATTTGGGGAGTGCTGCTTTGTCAGACTACTATCTTTTGAATGAGATGTTAAGTCAAGATCCCGTCTCCTTGTATTCAGGTGGATTTTAAAGGTTCCATGGGCACTTTTCAAAAGGAGAATGGAATTTGTCCTGGTGTCGTGACCTGCAATCCTCCGGATCATTCTAGAGGATTGCTGGTCACGTAGAACCAACCTTACCGTTTCAAATGGCTGCCATGTTTGCCTACAAGAACAGTCACTAGATATGACAATAACTATGCTCTTAAACATTTCAACATGATGAGGTACTAGAAAAATACAAATTCTTTCTCATGGTCACAATTATTTACTTGTGTGTATTGCTGTACATGTTTCTGTTAAAATGCATTTGCCATCAATCCTGGAAGTCTCCTGTTCTCCTTATGTTGTGTCATCAGTAACTCTCTTCTATAGATTATACATAATAAGATTATACACACTGTTGAGGATTCCATTCCACACTCATCTCATCAGTCAAGCATTAGACCTATCTGGATGTTTAAGTAATTTGGATTTTGATCAATACTATTCAGTGTGAGTGTTAATGTTTGCCTAGAAATACAATCATTAAACTTTATGGAAAATGGTGAAGCACTTTGAGACATTTTGACATGATAAGATGCTGCATCAAATGCATGGTTTATTAGTATAATTAATTAACTGTCAGAGGTGAAGCAAAGGAGACTGTGAATTAATTCAGGCAAACAATTATTAAAAGAACATGTTTCCAATGACTTCACTTGGCTACTACAAAGTAGGAGAATTAAGAATGTGCTAATAAAATAGCATCTTTGAAATTCAATGGAAATCCAGGATAGATACTAACTCCAGCTTTCAGGCTGCAATTGGGAAACTATTGTTCAGTCAGTTACAGCAGTGACCTTGCCTTGTACAATTATAACTATACTTGACTGTTCAATCACCTCTGGATGCGTTTTGTAGCTATCTTATGGGTAGATTGGCTGAAAGACTTCACTGGCAATCAATATTTGTAAAGCACACATGAAGCAAAAACAAATTTACACTCACACCATAAGGACCAGTTATTGTGTGAATCTGAAAATTGTATTTCTTGTTGCTATTGTGTTATCCTTTAGTGTAAATTCAAATGCTCTAAGCTTTGAAGGAAAAAGCACATTAAAATAATAGAAACATGACAATGAGTAGGATTGAACACAGAAACTTTAGTGAATATGTGAGTGCAACCTTTATGGAGAAATATTAAGGAATATTGTTCTCAAATACACATTCGTATAGTAGGGAGAGAACCATTTCAACTACAAATTCCTGTTACATTCGTTTTTGCAAAACATTGGACTGTTGTGCAGTCGAAATTAATATTTATTTCTAAGTTCTGTGTTGGTTTGTCCTCCAAATAAAATTGATTATTCGCTTCATGCTGTTTGTGGGCATTTATGCGCGTAAATGTTCGCCTACAAAATACACATTCATAACAGTTTACAGTACATCCTATGAAGCTCTTTGACACGTCCTCCCGACATGAATGGCGCTTTATAAAGCGTAAGGATTATAATTGAGTTATGAGTATCTCAGATCCTTGTTCATAATACCCAGTCAAGTAGTTTGCACTATGTGGATTCCAATGAAGAGGATATTTTCCATGTAGGATACAAGTTGCTTCCAAACATCATAGGCTCGACTGTGCAACTTGTGAAAACTAATAGCAATAGCCAAGAAGTAAGGAAAAGGCGTCTTCATGGCTTCTCTGCAGTTCAAACATTTAGTATTCTACTCTGATCCACTCGATCCGCTATTGTACAGATCACACAATGTTACTCTAAAACGTTATGTCCGCGTTTTGGTTTAACTTTGACATTATTATTACTATAATAATTAAACTTGTGTTTAAAATCTATTTAACTCTCCTTGTATAGCGGACTACATTACAAATGTCAAACATAAAAGTTTGCATTTACCTGTTCTGTTATTTGCAAAGAAAATTGCTCTCGATTGGACTGGACAGATCGATATTATTTTAAAATCTACCCGAGTTATTATAATGGTCTTTCTCTTGTAAACGGCAGAGCAACAATTCTCTGCAGGACGCGGTTCCTGTATTTTGGACCGTATTTAATGTACCGAAAATAAAGTGTTTAGATTCATGTTTATCAATATCTTCCAATCGGTAGCTCTTTCTCATCCGAATGAAATGAAAATTGTTGTGTAAAATTTCTACTGAACTAATTGGCTGACTATCAGTAATTCGTGCTAATAAAATACTTTTTCACTATCCTCAGTAATTGGTTTACAACCTTCTCTGTTTATTTATCCATAAGAGCTGGTGTTTAATGGCTCGAGAAAGCAATTGGTTAATGGCTCAATACTGAGTCAAATGTTCACTGTCCCGTTTTATGGCAAAGGAGAATGGATTCACGCAGCGGAAACCCATGTTAACGTTAATGGACTTGGCTTTTATGATCATACCAAATTGCATAATTATGAGAAATATTATAATTCAATGTGAGTCCCTTTACGGTCGTTAAAACTGCGCTTGTTTCAGAATTTTCCGACAGCCTGTAAGACACGAATCGCAGATTTCCAGTAAATATTGACCATCTCATAGATAAAGCTTTCACATAAAGCGTGTCATGTGCGCTTCAAAAATTGCCGAAGAGTGTTTAATCCGATGGGATCTTGACCATGCAGAATGGCGTAAAATTCGCCACAAAACGATAATTAACAAACGCACCCTGTCCAAACCGGTGTAAAAGTTGGCTTGACCGAAACAAAAAGGGAAGAGAGGGCTAAAAAGAAGTGGTGCCCCTCTTAAACGATTTATATAAATCCCTCCCCCCCCCCCCCCCCCCCCCCCCCACCGTCAACAGGTTAAGCAGAAACCCAACGTGGGGTTAAATGAAGCGTTTAAATGGGTAAAAATTTGCAGAAATGTGCAATTACGGCAGGAGTGCAAAGTCAATACTCTCTGTGTGAGAAAGCATGACTGAGCACAGGTAGTGAAGCGATCTTTGTCCTTTCCACTAGTTCCCCGCCTCCTCATATCCTTGTCACCAAGTCAACCAACAGCAAGTACTACCATATCATCCAGAAAGGTCAACACTGGCTGTGAATTATATATAAGAAAAAACTCCCAATAATCAATGCAGTCGCTATCGGTCGCTAACTGATACCAGGACTATTTATATTTAACTTTAAAACGGTTACATTGTCTTCGGGGGATAAACAAGTCGCCCAGAAAAGTTATGTCATGCTTTTTAGGGAATAGTATCATAAACATTATATAAGGTAATGCTCTCTCTCTCTCTCGTCAGAATGTCTTAGGATAGCAGCCTAATCGAAAGTCAATATTTGATGGTGTGTAGACTTATGAAAGTAGACTCTAAAACATGTGACAGCCAAACCCGGAGAACGTGTTGTATTTTTCTCAACAGCAAAAAAAAACACGTAGCAAATCAATAATTGATCGACCAGGTTAACATAGAGGAAAGCAAGTCAAGAAAACAACGAGCGAAAGGAAAGGGAAGAAGAAAAGAGAACACATAATCTGACGTTTCCACAGATGATATGGAAACGAAAGCTCAACTGATGACTGGACACCAGGACCACATAAATTGCTGACGGTACAATACAAGACAGTATTGGAGGCAATTCTTAATCGAGGTGTGTTTTTGGAGCACAACGTTTTTCAGATCGAATTGAAACAAATTAAAATGCACGCGTGTACTCGGTGTTGACACACTTCATCGCAAAAGTGTTAATCCTGGTCATTCAGGCAGGAAAACAGTAGCTAATCTTCCTTTGCTGAAAAAAATCCCTCTTTTTGTCTTTTTATCCGTGGTTCCCAGGGCGAAATTACTCAAAATGCGATAACAGGCCCTGTCTAATCTATCACTGATACCATTCACATCTGGTGATACATTTTCTAAGTTAAATGTTTAAAATTCAGCATATTTGTGTAACTCTCCTGATTCACACCGGAATGAAGCAAAGAGCTAACTGACCATGTGCCAGTATATACCTGCCACCTGTTTTTTTTTGATTGAGAAAGCACATAACAGTTTTCTTCTTGAATGAAACTGACATTTGTTACAAGAGGGAAAGGCACGTCGCCTGGCACTCAGGCAAGTTTCCATTGTAACTAAACTATGGAAAGCAGATGAAATCCAATGAGTCAAACAGATAAAGTTGACCCAAGTGCTCTTATCTGGAAATTGTAGTCCAATAGGTTGTAGCAAGTAAATCACATGATCTATTGGTAGTTCTCTATAGGAGCATAACACAGTGTCAGGTGTTATTTTGGTTAGTGGATCAAGTCAGGCAGACTATGAAACTGTAAATTAAGGACAATTCCTTATGTTTCAATTGTCGGGATCCCAGTAGCCATGAATAGCGAGGAACATTATTATGCACCAGCTCAAATGTATAAAGAATCGTGTGCTTATCAGAGACAACCAGCCCAGGAATATAATCAAAGTCCGCCAGCATGTCTTTACGTGGGCAGACAGCCACAGACACCTTACGCCAACCCTGCCTTGTCGGGGCTTGACCAAGGGAGTCCTCCTGATATTTCTCCTTTCGAAGTGCCTGCCATATCAGAGGATCCCGGAGTCTCCCACCTGCACCACCCACAGCACCCTCACACTCCCCAGGGAGCTTGCTTTGGAAACAGCTCCGAAATCGGAGCCTTAGACGAACGCAGCAGAACTCACCTGCCCTTTCCTTGGATGAAATCTACCAAATCCCATGCACACGTTTGGAAAGGACAATGGCCAGGTAAGGTGCTCCAGACTTCCTTATGAAGCCATATTTTCGCCCACAAAATACACAGGTTCAACGCACTTTCCAGTAATATATTGCGAAGAGCTTTGGGAACGACTCACCGACGAGACGAGGCGCTATATCAAATGCAAGGATCATTATTATTATTGTTGCTGTTATTGTTGTTGTTATTGTTAATTTTCCAAATGAATGTGAATTTAGGAAGTGATGGAACGAGTCACCAATTGGGGCAGGAGTATCAGATGATATCAATGTCATTTCTTCATCAGGAATGAATATTCCATCCCGTTTAATACAATTAATATTCATACAGAGTGGATATTATTATCCTGATCATTTCTAACAAAATGGTGGCATTGTTTATTACCACAGCCTGGTGTATTAATATTGCTTAGTATTCAACAGCTGTTGGGATGATATTACGAATAAAACAATGTACTTAAACTACACAAAACACCTGTTTTATTCGCACCTGCAAACTCCTACGAGTCATTTAAGCGCAAATGCTTAAACCAACTAAATTACTTGTTTAAAAACTGAAACTGGAATGATGCCCTGCAATTATCTCTATTGATTTCAAAATAAAAATAATTCAATTGGACCTGGTTAAATTTGAGTCTGTTTCGATGTTCCTGCAGGAAAACATTTTCACGACTTCTATTTTTGTTTTAGAAACAACGCACAACCCGATAGCACTACTCATACAATTTGAATGGGTAAATGAACAAAAACAAAATGACTGGAAAGTTACAGTATGTTACCAGGCAATACTAAACATAGTCAATCCATTCGGGAATTATTGGAAAAGAGAAGGCAGTTTCTCTTGGTGTTCCTGTCCAACAATCCTCCAAATAAAATTGATAATTCTCTCCATGGCTGTTTAAGACACGTAACTGCTTATGATACACTACTGTGAACAAATTAGTTGTCGCGTTTGCCTTGAAATACATCACTGCAATTTACAGTGAACCTCTTGAAGCGCTTTGAGGCGCTATATTAAATGCAAGGATTATTATTATTATTATACTAAATGAGGGGCTTTTCAAAACAAGCACCACAAGGTGACCCTGGAACCAACTAAGTACATCAGCATCCATCTGCAGTTTCCTTCATCCAGTTTTTATTTCATCCGAATTTGCTGCCTTGTAAAATCGTAGACCAAATATCCCAGGAGCGATAAAATGCGAGCTCTCATATTTCCGAAAAGGACGTAAATCGAGCCGAATCGATCATTTGCCCGAACCACATGAGATACAACGTTATTATCAATTATTGGAAATAACTTAAAATCTAATGATGGCAAACTTCTAAATGAATTCGGAGGCGAAAAGCAACGCGCATCTGGATGATAATGTGATTGGTAGTTGTAAAGGGATCAATATATGTATAATTACTCCAGATTTGTCTGTATCAAGTCATAAAACACAAATCGCAACCCATTACATAAACAAACATCTATTAACAGGGGCGTTGTTTCAACAACTATACCCATTCTCCAAGTAAATACGCGCAGAGTTTTTTCTCTCTCGATCTCAAGCAAATCTGTGCAGATCAATGCAGATCATTTTTTTTAAGAAACGTGATAATGATTCTGGATTATTCCTATCACAAACGGTGTGTTTTAAAGCTGATTGCATTTTAAACGTTATTTTCGCTGCTACTCATTTAGCGCACGTTTGGTCAGAAAGAAAAGATTATCAATATTCCACGAAGCAGTTCTCCCAAAGCAAAATAAACCATTCAGTCCAACCCCTTTCTATTTGTCATGGTTAGAAAAAGAGGTATTATTAATTCCACTTTTCAGTCATCTGGAAATATTTTAACAACTCGCATTGTAATATCTGATTTTTAGTTTTAAACATTTGCTTTTTGAAAAAAATATTTTTTTTTCCCCCTTTCCCATTACTGAGATAATACTGACTGGTTCCAGTTGTGTGCCCGTGTCTTGGTTTGTGTGCGTGTGAGTAGGAGTGTGGAGGGGTGTTTCCATATAAACTGACATAAACTATCGGGTGGGGAAAAGGCAATTTTACAGCGAGTTTTACTTTGACCCAAACGCAAAATGATTTGCAATAACAGTAGAAATCGGTGGAAATTCACAACAGGTCAATTGTGAGCTGAGATAGAAACGCAGCCCAGTTTCAGGCGTGACTCTCCAGGAGAACACGTTAGCAGCTTATGTTTTATTTTCACGATGGCGAGCAGTGGAGGTTCTGGAGTTGACTTGGATTTGGAGGCACTTTTCCAATTGGCAAAAAAAGCGACTGATTTAAGCAGAACGATGATCTATCTCTACAGCCATAGCCATAGCTCGACAACACTGTTAGACCGCATTTAGTTGTTTTAGGTGGACTTACATGGCATGTAAGATGCAGGATTTAACTGGGCTCGGTGTTTCCCACCCACAGAAAGCGAGCAGATCATTTACACATTACAGCAACAGCCATTTCCGACATGTTTCTGTTTGAAAATCATACAACAACATGTGGCAATAGTTGGGCGCAATTCAGCGCCAGGCAGCGATTTGACTTTTCACTGGTGTTTCAGTCGAACTTTTTTACTGTGTTTTTAGGATCATTGCGGGTATATTAAATTGTATTTCACTTGCACTTTTCGTTGTCATTTTAATCGTCTATTAATGCACTTTTTGACATAATGAGACAGCAGCAATTATCGCTTTATTTGCTATTAGTAATATTGTTAACCATCGAATTGAGCGATCCAGTGAAGAAGCGAGTTCGAACAACAGTTTGAAAGCTTCCTGACTAATAATTTATTAACTAATATTAATTACTCAAATTGTTCCATTAGATCGGGTCTCTGAATGAACAGAATAACCTTCTTAGTAATCTTAATGGATAATTGGATGGAAACACCGATCGCGTTGCGTTTCAAAACTTCTGTCCAGACCAACCAGATATTTTCAATGGAGGATTGAAGGCTTATAATATATGTATATATGTATAATATAGGATTATATATACATATATCCCTTCAGAAAAAATAAAATTAATAATAATATGGTCACTCAATCCACGACTGTTGTGCGTAATTAGCTGTCGCGTTTCGCCTACATAATATAGTCAATTCACTTTACAGTATGTTCTGTGAATATATATTTTGAGACGTCTCGAAGACGTGATAAGGCGCTATATCACATGTAAGGATTACTATTATTATTAGTGTTATAAATCTCCGTTCCTGTAATGTAAGCAGCGCTAAGAGTGAAACTGATCAGACCCCGCACTGTTGAAGCATATCACAAGAAGGGAAGTATATTAAGAAGTACATCACCTCATTCCCAATCCTAAAATGAAAATATAGCTTGTTGTTGTCCTTGCGATTAACCAGCTATGACATTGAACGCTTTGTACCTGTGCCCCTCTGCGGAAACTGTTCAGAAAGCCACAAGGTGGAAAGGCCTTGAGCTTTATACTGTATTGATTGCTCAGGCTCTCAGAAGACAAGACAAGGGCAATACTGCTGTCGAATTAGTAACATAAAATACTTTTCGCCTCAGTTGTAACACACTTGTTGCTCCCATTCCTCCCAAACTAGAGTGAAACGTCTGCTTCTGTTTTATTAACGCACTTAAACGATTGCATTGGGAACCATTAACAGTGCACAGAGTTGCTGCACCTAATCCCAGGCGCAAGTAAATGATTGCACTTGACGTTATTGTAAGCGCAGTAAATACATTTTTACGACACGTACAACCAAGTTAAACAGGAGGATCGTTTATGATGTCTCTGACGTGACTTGCTGAAATATCGCTTTCTTTAACAGAATGTAAATAAGAACATAAACATGCAACAGTACAACAACAACAACAACAACACATTTGCATCTATATTGCGCCCTTCACGCAGGGTAGTATTTCGAAGCGCTTGTAATGGACAAGTAGTTTTACAGCAGTTATATTTATTCTGTTGCAGAACACCATGCTAACTGGACAGTATTATTGTGTCTCAATAGAATCGGAATATTCTCGACATGTTAAATACACTTGGCAAACTGGTTGCTTTCTTTACAGGAACAAACTTTGACACTGAAACATTTAAAACATACACTTTAATAATAATAATAATAATAATCCTTGCATTTGATATAGCGCTTTTCATGTCAGGAGGAAGTCCCAAAGCGCTTCACAGAAGACACTGTAAAGTAAATTGACTGTATATTTGTGGGCGAACGCGGCAGCCAATTGCGCACAGCAATGTCCCACAAACAGTCGTAGATTGAAAATGACCAATTTATTATTGTTTTTGGTTTAGGAGGGATTATTATTAGGCTCTGTGTGGAGTAAGGAAACTTGCCCAAGGTTTCGCCCTCTGCCTGGAATTGAACTCAGGTCTCTCACTTGCAAAGCGAGTGCTCTAACCACTGAGCTACAGGACTCCACTTTAACACTCTTATAGGAATCAGTGACGGTCCAATCTCTAAATGGTATTTAAACGTTAATGTGGAACAATCCCACTGAAGCACTTTCCCAAAATTGGGGGGAATCTATCAGATTACAATTTGACAGGCGGGTTTTTACTTTACAGAAAACTTTGCAAAGCATTGGGTTCTCACGAATTCTCTTTCAAACTGCGTGAGTCAACCTGAATTGCAACGATCCCTACATTCAAATGGGAAAGAATATTAATGTCGATATTCCCATTCATTCTTTTAGTAGCAACTATACAACAACGTTGAAAGCCCCTTGGCAAGTTTCCTTACTCCACGCATCTCTCCTTACCGAGCAGTAAGTAGGAGCTCGGTTTTCAGTCGATATGTGGATCATTTTCGGGGGTAATAATTCTTCCCAACAATGGTCACTCAATCCACTGTTATTTGTGGGACACTGCTGTGCGCAATTGGTTGCTACGTTTTTCCCACAAAATACACAGTTAATACATACTATAAAATACACGTTACAATATATTCTGTGAAACCCTTTAAGATGTTTCAATGACATGAGATCTATCAAATGTATGGGATGTTATTTATTATTAATATCTGTAAAGTTTAGTCGCAAATGTAACGTAATTAATGGCTCAAAATGCTTATATATCTTTACCCTGAGCAAAATCCACGGGTAAGCAAAAGCCCTGTTTGAATCTCATAATATTTAATAGAATTGAAGCTCGGAGACATCATTCTACAGAATGCAAGCTCTAAAATAACTGTTTTTGCATTTGAAACAACGCCTTTCGATTTGGGTGGGTATCTCAAAGCTTTTCACGGGACTTAATGTAAATTTAGCTCGTAGTGACTATTTTGTAGGCGAATGCGATTTCCAATTTGCCCACAGCAAAGTCCCACAGGCAGCAATGAAGTTACGACCAAGTCATTTTAAGTAAATGCATAAAGTGATTTGCGTACACGAGGAAGTTGCTTTATATTGCATTTTGCTGAATATGAATGCAAATAGCGTCGTTGAATTCAATACCCGGTGTACCTAATACATTTGACCCCTAAAGATAATTATGTTTCATAAATATATATTTATATGTAAATGCTGAACACCTGCCATGTCGTACATTAGTAAAATGCCACGATGCTTTGTATTTCGAAATGAATGTGATGTTATGTGTAAAATACATTTGAATTCGTTATGTTTGGAAACTCGCCTGCTTTATTCGTGAGGAAATTGGATTACAGTATTGTGTTGGATAACGCCTGCTCTGTTACGGCGGTCCATAACATACATGTTGACGTGGTTTAGTAATGATCCAGTGTAACCACTGCCTTGCTATCCCCTTATATGAACATAACAAGATAATGCAATGCCAATCGTTGTTGTAACAATTTTACCTGACTTTCGCCGACAAAATAGACAGCAGATCATGTGAAGCACTTTAAGGCGTTTGCAAAGATTATTATTAGTGATATTATTATGATGATCGATGATGATGATTACCCGTTGGTACGAACCAAACAGTTGTTAAAATACACGCCATTCAAACCTGTCGAAAATAATCTTGCATCTCCTCTCCAGCAACATATTTCGTACCTTTGATGTTACTTAGATTTCGAGTAAAGTACTTTTTCACGAGAAACTCCAGGACAAAAACATATCTTTTATTTAAGACAAATACTCGATTCCCTGCGTATAATCCTAAAAAAAACACACAGAAATGATGTTTGCCATTAATACGATTCGATGTGACATTGAGTAAAGTTTATTTATTTATTTATTGGGATACATTATAATAATAATAATCCTGGAATTTGATAAAGCGTTTATCACGTCGTTGAGTCTCGAAGCGCTTCACAGAATACACTACGAAGTGAATTGACTCTGTAAATTCTGAGTGAAACGTGACAGCCAATTGTGCACAGCACTGCCCCATAAAAAGGTGACCAAAGTATTATTTTTAAAGGGATATTACGGGAATATGTGATTACCAAACACTTCACATCAGTTAGTCAAAATCTGCTGGAAGAGTTAACATTGCTTTGGACCGAAATGTATGCAAATGGAAAGTTAATGGGGTATTTTTTTTGCATAATCTGGGCTATTATTGATCTTTATCTCATCGAATCAGACAGCAATAAGCAGCAATAGTGTATACCAGACAAGTAGACGCATCTGAATTTATCCCATATTCTCCACCTGAACCTTCAGGGAATGGACAGCATATCGGTCATTTCAAACATTGTGCATTTGAATGGAATTGCTTCGTGTCCTGGGTTGACTATTTCTACTTATGCATGTGATGTATGTGCCTTGACTTGGTTCTTATTGCAATCAGCCGATGTTAACAGTAGGATCCGGAGAAACAGAATAACTAAAGCCACTGCTGATGAATTTTCCTCTCTCTCTCTCTCTCTCTCTCTTTAGGGGGTTCCTTTATGGTGGAACAGGAAGAAAACAAGCGCACACGTACCGCCTACACCAGGGCTCAGCTGCTGGAGTTGGAAAAGGAATTTCTCTTCAACAAGTACATCTCCAGGCCCCGAAGGGTGGAACTGGCCGTCATGTTGAACCTAACAGAGAGGCACATAAAGATCTGGTTCCAGAACAGGCGAATGAAGTGGAAAAAGGAAGAGGACAAGAAGAGAGGGAGGAACGGCGCTCCTGAGCAGGACTCTGTCGTCTCGTCGGGCGACCTCAAGGAAGACGTTTGCACCCTCAATAACCGCATTGGAAGAGACCTCCTCCCTGTCAGTGTCTCCTCCTCACAACCCGCCAGCATTCCCGGCTCTTCCCTAAGGAACCAGTCCACAGCAGCGAGAGACTCCATGACAAATTCCTAAAGTATTTTTTGAGGAGGACATTGTCACTGTACTCACACGCCCTTAACGGTATAGTCGTAATTGCAATTCAAAAGACAGAAAGAAAATCTTATTAATTACAAAATAGCTGACTTGACTCTATTTATCGTAATGCATAGCAATATTATCCCCCCCCCCCCCCCCCCCCACCAAATAAATACTATAAATATAGCGTCCGGTGGCATCCCGTGTTTCTATTAGACAATATTAATTTACCTTTTAAATATTGAAAGTATTATAGTCGTTCATTGCAACACAGTATTTACATTTCAGAGACTGAAACTGATATGCGACGGTTGCTTCAAGAATGAAAGTCATTGAATTATGTGTAAGCGGTGCTTCAAATAATCTTGCATAGAAACACGTTGGCTGTCTGTTTTACTTCGTCTCATTTTGTAAAATACTTTGAAACTGTTGGATTTGTTTTTGAGACGTTCTGAAACGTCCTCTCGACCTAAAAGGCGCAATATAAATGCAATTTTTGTTGTTGTTGTTAGCTAGACGCATTGGAAACGATCCTCAGTCAATAGATACTCTCAAACTTGGTGATGGGTTTCTTCACGTGTCAGACACCTCTGAACCAAAGCAAAATGTGTACAGTGAAATAAATCATCGTGTTCATTGTATTTTTTTTCCCCCAGTGGCACAAACTCAGAGAAGGCTTTTTCGTTGCAAATCAACACGTTTATGTATTTTTGAAGTTGTAATGTGCGCACATATTACAATGTTTTAAAGTGTGTACTTACGTTTAGAGAAAGTTTGACTGTGTAACCGTAGCCCTCTCTGAAAAGTAAATTACTTACCTGCATTGTATCTTTGCTGTTGTACATTATTATTGCCGTTCACTTCTTATCGCCCAAGGTCAATTGAAATATTTCATTAAAATAAAAACTAAAACATTGAGTATATTTACTTTTAGACGACAGTAGACATTAAAATTAATATATTTAAACTGAAATGTTCTGGTTTTGAAACGAATTGGTTTGTTTCTGAATATCTGGTATGTCAACAACTGGGAATTAAACGTTTTCTTACTTATCTACCCAATGTCAGCACACTCAGGTCATTTATTGTATGAGAAATATAGCATAAAATTATCTTGCAGCTCCCTCCCATCCAACACACACACAAACAATTATCTCAATTATACCTTATCCTAGAAAAAATCCTACTACCTGACATGAGAGCACCTGTGCATAATAATAATATTAATAGCATTTGATATAGCTCATTATCACATCGTAGAGACATCTCAGAGTGGATTGACTGTATTCTGTGGGCAATTTTGTTCGACTACAGAAGATAAAGGCAATTTTAAACACAAATCGTATACACTGATGCGAATCCATTCCAATCCAGAAGTTAGTGTGCGTTTAAATTGTCGGTGAGTGTAGCCCTATCTGTACTTGGACTGAACCCCTGGTGAGAATATGTGCAGCTGAGAGATGACCTCCTTTCTCCAGCTCGAAATTACTCTGCCTCAAACACTTACACATCCTGTAAGATGACTGGTCAAACAGCAAAAGCAGCTGACCCCCATTTGGTCAGATTGAATTGATCCACAAGTCCCACAAGTGAACGGTCAGTGTCCAAATTGACTCTTTGGGCAATCCATTGAAACAAACGAATGGTATTTGGAGCAGAAAATACAGGCAAGTACAATTTCAGAAAACAATAACTCTGTAATGTTGTTGTGATTGTACGTGGGGCGAGAAAAGAGTTTCCATTCACATTAAGCAGCTGTTCAAGTGGGTCGCAATAGTAACTCATTATATCATATTAACAAGACAACAAGAGTGGGTTATTAGTTAATGCACTCGAAATGATGTACATTGATAATCCTTAAATTTGTTATACCATTATATAAGGAAACTTGCCCAACATTTCGCCCATGTGGAGTCCTGTAGCTCAGTGTTTAGAGCAACAACAACAACAACAACAAGATTCCATTTATAGAGCGCCTTTCACGTCAGGAGGACGTCCCAAGGCGCTGCACAGTTGGGTCATGACCCGAGCAGGGGGAAATGGTCAGGGTGAGGGGAGGGAAGGGAGGGAGAGAGGAGGGGGAAATGGTCAGGGTGAGGGGAGGGAAGGGAGGGAGCGAGGAGGAGGAAGAGAGTCGAGAGGGGAGCTGAAGGCACGGTCAAAGAGAAAGGTTTTGAGACCGGCCTTGAAGGAGGAAAGGGAGGAAGCAAGACGAAGGCACTGGGGGATGGAGTTCCAGAGCCTCGGGGCTGAGAGGCTGAAGGCCCGACCACCGATAGTAGGGCGGTTGGGGCGGGGGACGTGGAGCAGACCGGAGCCAGAGGAACGGAGGGTACGGGCAGGTAGGTAGGAGCATTCACTTTGCAAGTGAGAGACCTGGGTTTGATTCCCAGCGGATGAAATCTTACTTCACAGGCCTGATAATAATCCCTCAAAAAGAATAATAAATTGGTCATTTCAATCCACGACTGTTTGTGGGACATTGCTGTGCACAATTGGCTGCCGCGTTTCGCCCACAAATATACAGTCAATTCACTTTCGAGTCTATTCTGTGAAGCGTTTTAAGACGTCTATAAGATGCGAAAAGCGCTATACCAAATGCAAGGATTATTATTATTATACAACCTCGAAACATCTCAACGCGCTTGACCTGAGTCCCACCATTCCACACGACTCCATGGAGCTGAGATAATGTATTATTTGCAGTTTTGAAACAGGGCATTAGTCATGTTTTATCAGGAAGAAAAAACATGTCGATTGGTGTTTTGTAGCAGAAAGCAAAGAATATCCAGCATACAAAATATCCAGCAAAATATACACCACCATATATGTTTCGCCCATAAAATATACAGTTAATTGACTTTACAGTATATTCTTTGAGACGTCTCAAATATGTGATAATGTGCTGTATCAAATGCAAGAATTAGTATTATCAAATAAGTGCAAATGACATCAACATCGAGGGATATTCGGGGTGCTTGGAGGAAACACGTTTTTAATTGACACGACAGCCTCTCTTGAGTTTATTGGTGTTTATTTGTTATGGGAACTCTGGTTGAGTCCCTGTCGTTTACTTTATTGGTAGCTCGGTGATAAAATCAGGTTGCAATTTTAATTTAGATCACGATCTGGTACAATAACGCGAACATTAATATAACTATCACACATAACGTATAATCCAGGTATACGTAGGTAGGACATACTCGGGACAAATGCACAGATTTACAGGTACACAATATACCCGCAGAAACTTCAAATAACTTAATGATCTTTCTTTGCCAATAGAAGGAAGTTCATTTTCAATACTGGGTAATATGTGTCAAGTTATTTCAACAAGCAGTATCTGTTTCGAGTTTCTGAGCCATATGATAAATCCCATTAAAGCGCGGATTGTTCTATGGACCATGAATCATTTGAAGATTATTTCTCCTAAAACTTGCGATTGGTAGTTTCCTGGGTTTTGTGATGATATATTGGGAGGGTTTCTAAACGGTCAACATTTCTAATGTCAAACAATTTGCCAAGGAATATCGTCTCCGGCTTATTGACAATTATCTTTAATATGACATAAATCAGTTTAAAGGTGCGGTTTATTAATCATTTATGTTGTTCAAACGCGTCTTTTTGAGTGTAAACATGTGTTTCTGTGATTCCTCATATTCCGTGTTATTTCCTTCACAGCGTTACAGGGGATTTGCACCAACGTTCAACTGTTTGAAAAGGTGCTGATAATTGCTTATCCATCTCACAATAATTTCGACACTAATTTCAGTATTGATCCACCCCCCAGAAATAACACCGGGTCACCCAGTGGACTGGCTCCATGGATATAGAAAGTGTATTAATGTACTGTGCTCCCGCCCCCTGTAACTCTGTGGCCAAAGTGTTCCTGAGCCACACTCACAGACACCATTCTGCCCTTCGTGTTTATCCATGTAAGGCTCCACCACCTCCACCCCCCTCCCTCTCCAACACACACCCAGTGGCTGATTTGCTCAATGTGCAGTTACCTGCCTTAGCACCTGATGCCCTGGGTAACCCACTTGGGTAGAAATGTGAAGGACATGCGGTTGAGACAGACTTTGCATATATTAATCATCTTGATACAGTTGCTGGGAAGTTAGAAATTTGCCACCAATGTGCAACTACTGTTCAAACATTGAACACAATGCATTGCATTCAGTGAACGTGGATTACTTTAAAATGCTTAAAGGTAAAGGAATGGAATGAATCTCTATCCATGAAAATGAAAGGATTTTTTATTTCGTAGTATTCTCATTCCAAGATAATTAACGAATGTATTTTCCAACCCAGCCATTGATTTTCAGTATAATGTAAGCTACAGCGTGAATGGAAAGAGGAGGAATCTGGAAACGTTTCAAGACCACAACAGTTTTGCAAATAACGTGCGATTATCTTTAAGTCTTATTCTTAAACATTTAGGGAATTCTTTTGACAGCCACGTTATTATCAGACACACAAACTGCCCTACCCAAAATGCAGAAGAAATTATTGTGCCACGAAGTTCAAAATGCTAAAAGAAAACCAGTGTTAGGGTGAAGTGAGAGAAGTGACCAACCGAGCTGAACAGGGCAGTCAAAGATAACTGCGGATACATGACAGAGTGTGACTGCACTTATCCTATCAGATAGAGGTTATGGTGTTTCAACGCTTTCTATACAACAACAAATCACATTTGTATAGCGCCTTTCCCATCTGAAGGACAACCCAAGGCACTGGACAGTCAGGGATTTGGACCTGAGCCTGGGGTTAGGATCAGGAGAGGCGGAGGGATGGGAGGGTAGGAGTAGGAGGGTGACCAAAGTCATGGTCGACGAGGAGTGTCTTGAGACGGCCTTGGAGCAGGCAAAGGAGGGAGCAAGGTGAACGGACTGTGAGATGGAGTTCCAAAAAGTGGGGAAGAGAAGCTGAAAGTCCTACTGCAGGCCAGGCTGGGCGGGGGACATAGAGCAGGGCAAAATACACAAAATACACAG